ATTATAATTTATAATTGTTTACCTATTTAAATATTTTGAATATTAAACATTTTTCAGACTTCTATGCATGCCGCGAAAATATTATTTTTTAATTATTATTATTATAATTGTTTACCTATTTAAATATTTTGAATATTAAACATTTTTCAGACTTCTATGCATATAATGTGCCGCGAAATGTGAAATAGCGTAAGCTAAACGACGACAAAATATTATTGTGTGGCTTGAGGAAAGATTACACCAAGTTCAGTTCAGTTTAAGTTTTTACCAAAAATGATCTCAATCTAACCGGGCGACACGAACGGCAGGCATTCTGCTCTGCTCCACGGTGTGAATCTTCTTTATGCCGAGAACAACGGGCTCATTATTTGGGAGGAGATTGAGACGGCGCGTTGTGATTGGACGCTGGCAGCAGGTAGAAACGAACAGGTACTTTATTTTCACACATTCTCTGGCAAATGAAGATTTCTGCGTTTTCGCTCGCTGATCTTTTCTTCCTTGGTCACATCAGCATTTGTCTTCATCTCTCAGCGCTCATGTAAATGAATGTCGGAAAGGGATACGAATATGTTACGTTTTCAGAACGAGGCATCACAAATCTGTAACTTGGCGCGACCAGAGTCCTCGGATGTTCGAGGTTAAATCGTTTCCTTGTGCGTTAAAAGTAAACGTTTTGAGTTGAATGACATTTTTTATTGTTCGAGTATATGTGACTGGATTATTTTAGATATTGGACCTCTGACATTACAAGTACGTTTTTGGACCCAATTGTTAATAACAGTGTTGATTGTTCTTTGTTGAAGTAGAGCTCAATAAGGGTCACAAGGGCAACTTATTGTTTATTCTTTAAAACATTAACGTGATTATTTACAGATTATCCAACTGAACAGAATGACTGATTCATGGCTACACCTTGTCTTGATGCTAACAGGTAAGTCTTGTTAGGGTGTACTAGGTCTATGACTACAACTATTTGATTCACTGCATTCATTAAATTCATCAGTTGTCTTTCTGTCTTAAAACTTCAGGACTGTCAACGTGTGTGGCACAAGGTAATTATTTTTCGTCAGTGACAGTTTATGAAATCTGAGATGAGATTAAAAAAAAATCGTGTCCTGTTCGTATGAATCTAATCTTTGTATTCATGTTGTTTTGATACAAAGTTTTTATAGTGATTTCTAGAAAAATATAAGTGAAGAAAATTATTTAAATTAAGTACTAAATACTATACCGGCACCAAATACTTTTTATTAAAATTATTATTTCAATAACAAGGTAGAAAAATATTTTAAGGCTACTCAGTTGGATGTGAACAAGACAACTTTCTATTAAAAGGCCAACATATAAAAAAGATTTAAAAAAAACTTTTATAATAGTCACGATTGTGTCTATGTTGGTCTTCTACTGTATAATTTACTGTTTTCTTGTCACATGACCACACAATTGTCTTTCCTGCATGTCCGTTAAAGTGACA